GTTTAAGTAATTGATTGATGGATCTATTGTTTAGCTCAGTTGGAGTTGGGAGAGGCGTGCTCAAGTTGGAGAGTAGTTGGTGATCGAGTAGTTTTGAAGTGAAGTTTTCAAGTGTTTAAAGTTGTCAAGATCGTTCGTTGTCAAGAATGGAATTTATTATAATAATAACTTGTAAATAGTATATATATATATATCGTGTTTATTTCATTGTGGATTTTGCTACCATACACCAACCAGCCTTAAAAAGCACAACACTACGCTAAGAAATATATATACCCAGTTGTGGATCGAAATAGAAACGCGAGCACATGACTGTTGAGATTGCCCAATCAGTGCCGCTTGCCTATTGAAATTTTTACCAATGGAGTTCTAAGGTGAAAACAAACTCCTTTTGTCTGCATAATAGCAGTTTTTTTCGGGCTTATGTAGATAAATTTCAAAACTGCTAGATGGAACGACGATCGGGCTTTAGCAATTGTCCGAAACATGTCGCTTCTATAGTTGTTTTGCAGAATCTGGGTTTTCCAGTAAATGTTGCCCGATAGCAGAATCGCGTGTTTTAGTTTTAGTCGTACTTTAAAATCTGCAAGACCAAGGTGGTTGTTCTCTTTGGGGATGAGTTTTGTTTCTAGTACTAGACGGAACATGCTGTTTTATTCTATCTTTGGGTAGCCAGAATCACACTAGCACGTAAATTTATAAATAACTCTTTTGGGTGGTAGAAACGCAATCCTTTTGAATGGATGGAAGGGCCTTTTTTGTACTGTAAAAAATACGTGGATTATACCGAATCATATGATATGTCCTGTTAGAATATCTAGTAGCTCTAGTTTGAAAATTACTTTTCATAACCCCAACTAATCAAATCTTTGGTTAGAAATAATTATTTGTTACCTGCTAGAGCCAGAATATGCTAATAACCGTCCATCTAGACAAGGTTTCTTCAGTTTTTGCACTGGCTTAAACATTCGAAGCCTTTATCATTCTTTTCTGTAGAAAATTTAAAACCTAAACTTTTCTAATCGCAAGAACTGCCACTTTTCATAGAGTACCGAAGTGATGAATTCATAAAAGTATATTTTTAGCATTTCTGAATTTTGATCGCAGAAACTGAAAGAGCATCAGGAAATACCTCTAAATATGCAAAATCAGTTAAAGGCATTACGAATTGGTTGAGATATGGCCACTTGAGCACAGGCTCTTGCCCTATCAAACCTCTGTAATTTGATCTTTTTTCATAACTTTATGAACCAGGCCAGAAGAACAGTAACCCGTTAGCAAACTTGAAATCTTTCATCGGTCATATCTCGCCCACTTTGGAACATATCTAACTAATTTTGCATATTGAGAGGTATTTTATGCCGTTCTTTCAGATTATGTGGCCAAATTTAAGAAATTCTAAAAATTGGTTTTTTGATGACGTCACACTTCGGTACTCTATTGCTCTTAGCAACAAAAAAATTACATCATTGAAATTTTACAAAATTGAAACACATTTTTGTTCAGTTGGAAATATTTCGCCATACCGACAGTTTCTCAAGATCGCATAAAACTTGTCTCGGCAAAGTAAAAAAAGACGAATTATAAAATGCACCATTCCACTGCTATGCGACTGCACAGTGGAATTACAGAAGATGCGGGTTAGTTGTATTTGTTGCTTGTTTATCGAGCAATTTCCCAATCGCTCTTTCAACGTTGCTTCAATCCCTTTGCCTGGAATCATTGTGAGCTGGCCACTCTCCTCAAACATTTTCAGGTTATAAGCTTTGGAAATCAGACAAAAATCTCTTTATTTTAAACTGGTTTAAGTACAATAAAGTGTTTTGTACAAAGCAAAGTTATATAGAGAACGTCATTGTGGTTTTGTCCTACACCACCAAGAACCACATATCAAAACACAATGGCTACAACACCGGTCGATACTCCTACACAACCGTTGACCATGGATGAGATTCTGCCATACATCGGGGAATTTGGAAAGTTTCAGATTCTTCTAGAAGTTGCATTTTGTGTTATGGCAATTCCAGGTTCGATGCTCATACTCGTCCCGTACTTTGCGCAAGACAGTCCTCCGTGGACATGCCTTTTAAATAGTACAGTTTGCCGTCTTAATGGAACGTTTGACTCTTATAGCCGATTCTACCAACACCGATGCAATATGCCAAGGTCAGAATGGGAATTCACCAAGCAAAAATAATACTCAATAGTCACACAGGTAAATCTTAACCAGCTCATTCCTACTGAACCCTAATTCAGAGCAACTGTGTTAGTTGTTCCAAATGTAGAACAGAATAATATCATGTTTCCATTTCTTGTGTTTGTGATGGTGATGGTGAAAGAGGGTTGAAGTCAAAATTTTTTATTTGAAACCCATCAAAATCAATAGCTCTGCACTGAACATTGTGTATCAGTTTATGCGACTGAACAGTTTCATTCGTTCTAGAAGCAATTTCAATTTATTTTGGTGATCCAAAGGTTCCATGGACCATGCGATCAGGCGAGATGGCATTAACCAAGTTATGATTATCATTCTATTATTGATTTATTTACAGTGGGCTGGTACATTTACATGTTAACAATACATATACAAGATTAGATTGATACTTAGAATTGGATAAATAAGTTTTTGGTACTGCAAAAATAATCTGATGAACCTTTGGGATGAGCTTTTCCTGTTACTTAGCAATTACCTCGTTACACCACGAAATGAAATTGTTTTGGTTTGTTGGTATTTTCTGTACTAGACAAAATTCTGACTATAACCAAACAAACGGTGGTGATACTTTCGGGCTGATTTTCACAGACGGTTGAATTTCTGCAGCAGAAGGTTTGACAGATCTTTTTTGTTTTTGGGACGCTGACATCTTCTTTCTTTAATACTGTCCCAAAATACTATTTTCTTGGAAAGCAATGCCTGGTGTATTATGAATTGAGCCAGTGCCTGAAGAGGTCTCGACATTACGATCAAAGTTGTCCCACCAGAATATAGTAGAAACCTGAAAGGAAAGAAAAAGATGTCGCATTTCTCTACTTAGATTTAAAGCCTTGTCAAATTTTGGAAGTAATGAGCATATATTTTTATAAATAATCCAATCTCCTACCCCTGGTAATTGATAAAGCGTTCTTGTTAAGTGAAAGCAAAAATCTATTTGACAATCTAATTGACTTACCTTGCTTCCATCAGCAGCAGGTTGAATTGGGAGGCTTAGACCCGAAGAATGAAAATGTTCTACCAAGTCTGCTTGCGCTGTCTCGATTTCATTCACGGTATTGTATGAGATTGAATGTCCCAGTCTCACTAATACTGTAATCGGCAGCTTTTGTCCAGTTAAACTATGCAGGACTTTGCTTCCGAATCACCTCCGTGTTCGTTCATTAGATTTTCCATAGATATGCATTGTTTCCCTTGAAGGACATCGTAATCAATCATAGAAAGAACAGCATCAAAGTTTCTTTTCACTTCATCTTTTTCTGTTTCAGATGCACCTTCCCTCACAACTCTTGTGTACTCTCTGTAGCATTTTTCGTGCTTTTGGAATTCTTTTGCAATCAAATCTGTTTCAGCTACTGCAACTACCATGTCTCTGTCATCCCGGACATGCGCGGATTCCTTTAAATTTCTCTCTGCAGATTTTGTTACAATCTTCATAATAGACTGGCGCTTATTATTGACTTCAAGGGTTTTCTTCTTACATTTCATACATAGATTTGGAAATAATCCCCTTGGCCGTATTTCATCCGCGCTCCAAGATGTGCCCCTTGCAGTTCTTTGAACTTTGGTGCTTGCCTCCTTCTCTTCATCCATACCTTTCTTTCTTTCCTTCTTTCTATAAAGTAAACTTTTAATAACATTCTCTATGATAGAAGAAATCCGAGCTTTTTTCTATAGTGTCGGGAATCTTGCTGCATTGCTCAACATGATGGTTTTCACCGCCTAGGCTCGCACGTGTTCTTGCAGTCGATAAGCGTTTCGAGACCACTCTGACTTGTATCAGGTTATCCGATGTCTTTATTGATTCATAATGAATGCTACAAGTTTTTATCTGTCATTTTCAATCGTACTTCATTTCCAGCGATAATGTTAAACTAGATAAAAACTAGATTTCAGCAAAACTCTACATTTATGCCAATGTTGGTGTGATAGCAAATGTAGGAAATCATATTTGCGATGTGGATGGTGTGATGAAGTGTTTGTTATATTTTGACAAGGTATAGACAGCACTTCAAGTAAACCTTCCCTTGGTAAAGGTAATTTACTTTTACTTATTTCTGAAAGTGATCATCTCTCATTTCGTCATTTGTGAACATATTCATGACCTCTCACTTTAGCCTATCACCCTGTCAGAATCTTCTTTATAGCAGAGAGACAGTAATTGGTAGATGTAGATGAATTACGTTGTAAAATGTTTGTTATTTCTTGTTATGTTAAGACTTCATTTTACACGTAATTTGACATCGAAGTATTAGCATTGTGAAAACGAGGCTGCTTGCCTCCTGACAAGCCAAAATTGAATGTTTAACGTTCATGCCCAGCAAAGATACCAAATCTACTTTCAGAATTTACCTATTTCCACTTTAAACTGTTTTCCCGCTTGTTTCCATAAAATACACGAAAACGAGACTTAAAACACGAAAAGGAGACACGTTAACGGGACAGATATTCATAATGACGCTAATTTGTTGAGAATTCGTGAACGCCTCTTTTCAAAAATGAGGCCACCAAACCAACAGCGTTTTTGTTCGAGCAGTGTGAACACTTACCGTATTTAAATTGTATTCATTTGATAACGGATAAATGTGAACGGACAGCGTTTTCATCAACGAATACGGAGCAGTGTGAACGTAGCCTAAGTTGCTTGTCAAGCATTATTTCGACATGCAAACGTATAAACGATTACTTACAATTTTTCTTAAATTATCTTTGTCAGGCGCCTGTTGGCTTCTGCGAAAATTAGGATTAACGATAATTAAACAATCTTTTTGGTTAAAAGGTTGAAATTTTATCAAAATAAAATAAGGAACTTCGTTATTTTATTTTGGTTTTATACATTTGAATCACAAATAACATTATTTCGCAGGCCCATATCACCTAAGCCACCTTTACCCACCCTCACTCATTTCTGTTGGCCAAGCGTCAATCAAAGATAAGTACCATTAGGAAAGCTAAGGCCTACTGAGAAACGGAAGAAAGTAGAAACTCAAGAACCAATAAACAAAAAGGAAGGTAGGAAAAACTCGAACTCGGCTTGTGAACGAAGATTAGCAAGGAATGTGCTCCGAAACCATCTGGGGTAAATAACACATGCCTAACTTAGGGGTGTTGGAGGCGATCCTCCGGACTAACTCCGGTTAAACAGGGTCTAACTAGCAGTATGTTGAAGTATTCGTTTACGCTAAATCCTATCTGAACCAGAAAGGTGAGGGGTGATTTAGCCCCTCTCTCATATTCTTACGCAAACAAGAATTTTCAGCAGTGATGCTCTTGCATACAGTTGCCATGGCAAAAAGATTTTAAAAGAGTTCTCTTTAGACAACGTCAAATCATTGGCTACCTTGCCAAATGTAATCATTACAATTTTAATCGTAAGAAACATTTTGCCGTTGTTAAAAAACTCAAAAACTATCTTTAGAAATTGCCAACATGAGGAAAGTAAGCTTTTACTTATTAAATGATATTTGATTTGTTTTTATTCATCCTGTGCTTCTGAGTGGGATATAGGAAGGCATGAGACCTGTATCTAGACTTGCGCAAAAAATCTTGTTTCTTTAGTGACATCATTGTTTATGATAAGCTGTTTTGTTTAGCTTTCGCGAAACCTACATTAAATTACGTTTCTGTGATATCTTAAGTGAATCTTAAAGATTTTTTTGCTAAATATAAAAAAAATTGATAAGATTTAAAATTTCATTATGACGTCATGATATTTTGATGGGTATAATCGTATAGAAATCTTAACCCTCTACTGCTAACCAGTCTGGAAAAATGACGGGGGGGGGGGCTGAATTAGCCTGAGGATGCTCAAAAGAGCTTGGTCTAGATAGGATTAACCGAAAATGCTGGCACTTACAAACGGGGTTTTACTCTATACTTCAAATTTAAAATGAACGTTTATTTCAGTTCGATTTGCACTGCGACACTGAAGTATACAGTTACTTGGCCACATCTTCAGTTTTTATCAGCTGGGCATTTGGAGCAGTCGTTCTTGGTTGGGCGTCAGATAGGTAAGTAATTGGAAAACTGAATCATTTTTGGTCCACAATGAATCTGATGATCTATTGATCGTAATAAAATGTATAGAAACATCAGCGGTTTCACGATGTCTGCTTTGTTTATCTAACGACACTTTTTCTCGTGCTTGATAAGCGTAAAAAAAATTAAAGAGAAGGAAATCCTGTGGCAATATAAGGTGTGCCTAATTATTCTCTTAAGAGTGTCCCCAAAAGAAGGAGTGGCCCAGCCATTCAATCCTATTGTTTTATTCTGTGTTTCCAATACCACGCCAACCCTTTTCATTATCGCTATCAATGTTGAACATTTTGCTTAAAACTTGAATCTTGTTTTTAGGTATGGTAGAAGAATCAATATGCTGATATCGACAACTTTTATCCTTTTGTTTGGGTTCATCAGCTCGTTCTCTCCAAGTATTTGGTTCTACATTTTTGCACGAGCAGTGTTTGGGTTCTTCATACCAGGAACTTTTATACAGTCAATCGTTCTAATTTCAGAATTTGTAGGCCCAAAATGGCGTCCATTTGCGGGTATAGCAATTTGGCTAATATCTGCAGTAAGCGTTGTCATCCTTGGTGTTATAGCCTTCTTCGTTCAGACGTGGAAAACACTGATGATAGTCATCACAGCTCCATATTTTTTCATCTTGCTGTTTTTTTTGTAAGTTTAATCCATGAAATTTTCTTATTCATTGTCAGGGATCCTTCTTTTTCTTGGCCATGTGGATTAGCACAATATTAGGCTTAGGCCCTAAGCAAATATAGCACGTGCATTGCCGATCTCTGTTAGAGTACTGAGTGTGATGTTTGAAGTTTCAAGCGACCATTTTTTGTATTGGTTTTCTATTTTGATTTTAGGGTGTACGCAGTTCATATATATTAAACCTGGAATAGGACTGGGCCACTTTTCAGTTTTAGAACAAAAGCTTAGTTCAGTACGTAGATTAGAGAGAGAACAATTAAAATCAAATATGCCATATAGCAAAGGAATATATTTATATATATATATCTTCTTGATAATTCGGATAGTAAAACCAAAGACAAGGGAAGGAAGGAAAGGGTTCCATTTGTACTAAGATACCATCCAGCACTCAAGGCACAACAATCGTGCAAAATATGATACCAGCATGAAACTTCACAACTTATTTACTTTAAGGTGTAGAATAAAATGCAAAACAGTCTCAAGCCGAAAAATTCAGTTAAAAGCTATTTTTAGAACATTTGATTTGGTCCCAGTCCTCAAAATGACTTTAAAGTCACTTGCGAGCGATTTAATTCAACTCAACTCAGCGGAAAGGTAGAAACTGAGGAGCCTAGTTGAAAACAGTAGAGTCTGCACGCAGGCTTCATGAAACAACAAAGCCACACCAAGACTGTTTAATCGAGAAGCAATTGATTTAACTCTTTCAATTTTTAAATAATATCTTTTGATGTCGATACAAAGAAACTGGCTACAGAAAGAAGGGAGAGTTGTGGAACAATATTTTTTGAAGGTTTCTTGAAAAACCTTTGTTGACTGCGTTATTTTTTGCCTCAGCTGTTTTTGCATGGCCAGTCAATATTGGATACACTATCAAACTGTTAATTCTGATAGACTATCCTTATTTTCTTGCAAGGGCCATTCCCGAATCAGCTAGATGGCTTCACGTGAATGGAAGAAATGACGAGGCTCTTGCAATCTTTCGAAAGATCGCTAAGTGTAATGGAAAAGAGCTACCAGAAGTTCAACTAAAGAAGATTGAAGACAACTGTTCCAGCGGAATAAAACATTATCTTCACCTATTCAAGCCTGCAAAAATCGCAGTAAGGAGCTTACTCCAAGGATATACATGGTGTGTAAATACTTGTTTGTGATTCTACAAGATAGAGTGGAGTCGTTGGTAGATACAATAGCTGTTGACAATTTGTGATTGATGATTTGGTTTGTCACTAATTACCAGAGAGAGACAGACACAGTTTAGCCAACTTTACAAAACGTGAAGGAAGATTTCAGTGCGTGTCAATTCTTTTGAAATGTGGAAAAGTTTGTTAGTTAGCCAATTAGCTAAGGGTTCTTGTGTGATTGTGTACGTGAAGAAGAAGTAACTCACCACTGCAGTTTTGCTGCAAATTTTAACTACACATAGTTTACTGTTTTTCAGGATGGTGTGTGGCTTGGTGTTCTTTGGAGTTTCATTTGGCGCCGGTGACTTGAGCGGCCACATACACAGGGACTACATCATTACCAGCTTATTCGACATACCGGCTGCTGTTCTTGCAATATACCTTTGCAACAAGTGAGTTACTTCGTTCTATGTCTTGTTTTTTTTACGTGGGGGCGTAATATTGAAACCTTGAACTTATATCGCTCATCCTATCAAAATCCATCACTAAAGAGCAAATTGTATGGCTTAATGAAAACAATATAAAAGTTTTTTGACCATACAATCTGAAAGTGGAAATATCTCTAAATGTGCAAATTCATTTACATTGCTGAGATACGTCCGTCGAAAGATCTGAATTTTGCCTTAAAGGAAAGTAATGGATCAAAACTTGTACTATTAATTATAACATAAACAGCAGTGGGTCAATGACGATGATCCCTGGATAACTCACTAAACTTCAAATCTACAGGAACGTACTTTATCTTGTAGAATTGGAAGAAAGAAGACAGTAATTATTTCCATGTTTATTGCCGGAATATCCTGCATCGCTGTCTCCTTGATTCCGAAAAAGTCAGGGAGCAAACCATCGGGTAAGTTTTTCACAAAGATTTTCAAGCTGCAGCCATTCTCATACTTAGTTTGCCTCTATAAATATATAAATGAAAGTGTACAATTCCAGATAGGGTAAATGTTGTCAAGGTACTATTTTGCAAACATTGTCTGTCTTCGTTCAAATTTTAATGTGATGTCCTTGTTCAAATTCTACGAAAATATTTAGGAAATACTAAATCCGTTCGCTTTCGAACCAGGATCAAAACTGCTCAGGGTAGCACAGCAAAGTTGTCTTGATTGCATTTTGCTAGTGTAAACGAAAAGGTGTGCAGAGAAAGTTTTTTACGTTGAAGCTTCCAAGGAACAATGCAAATGGGGATTAAGTCGCTTCTTTGAGCAAAACATTCTAACATAGCAAAGAAGCATCTTAGGTACTTTGTAGCAGTGTCCTCTTTATGTCTAATGGGTTTAAAATCATGCTCACACCTCGAGAAGTGCTTCATCTTCCATGACCTAAATTAGAAGAGTTCTGCACCATTCCGGACTTCTAATACGTCCGGCCTTATATTAGCTTCCATTACTGCACCATTAAAGACATCGTCAACATCACTATTTGAAAACATCACCCTACTTGTTAAAGTCAACACCTGTTCCGGGAAAGATAAACCATTTTCATGCAAAACTAAATGATTCTGATACGATTGATTCGTACATGGATTGACATAACTTTTTTCATCCAGAACTTGTTGGTCTTCGAGTTTTCTTTGGAGTGCTTGGAAGGTTTTGCATCACGTTGTCACATGATTCCATTTACATATGGTCGACCGAAATGTACCCGACTTGCGTAAGGTAAGATTAATTAAAAAAATCAATCCTGTTAGGCAAAAATTTCAGCAAAAATAGCGAAAACTCATTGAAAGTCACTGAGTTTTTTGATTACTTAACAAATTGGAAAAAGGTAAATAGAAGATTGGAGACGAATATCAATATATAAAAAATACCAGTTATCTTCTGAACAAGTCGAAGTGTATTAGTATAGGTGCCTTATTATTTTAATAAATTATTTTAGATTCGACTTGGACTTTGATCAAATATATATATATTAATATATAGAAATTTGTCTTTTGATACTTCCGTAGCTCAATACGTTAGCACGTAGAGCGTGATATATCATAGATTGAAGAAAGTAAAACTACATGTCAGTCTCCTGAAGAGTGAGTTACTCACGAAACAGGCTTGTAGAGATAAACCATGTAGTTTTACTTTCTTCAATCTATGATATA